GCCCGGAATTGCTGTCAGCGGGGCCTGTATAGATAAATTCATTGTAATCCAGCATAATTCTACTATACATCAGAAGCGATACTGATAAACAGCATATCAGAGCTTTGAATGTAGGAATACTACAGTGTGGGCCAAATTCTGGCTAATGCAGGGTAATGTGTGACCTCACTTCTGATGGGCACAAATATACCTATCACAAGCAGTATGAAAATTTGCACCTATTCTGCTTGAGTCCAACCCTTTTTGTGCATCTTGCTCCCTCATGTGCTCTGTTCTAAGAGTAGCTACAGTTTGCATGGGGGCCGTTCAGAGGGAACAACACTTGCTTCAGATGGCTGCATATGTATTTGAATATGTCCATGTGGCCCATGCCCATTTCCTTGTGGCTGTGCCCTTTGACCTCCTGCTCTTCCCAGCCGATCTACAAAGTGGTCTGTGCTCTGTGACTTCCTAAAGCTGGTAAAACTGAGCTGACAGCCTTCTTCCAACGTGCACTGCCTGTCATTTTTCTGCTCTGCAGGAATGAGCATCCTGACTGAAAACTTGGCCTTGTATCCATGGCCAATCCACATTTTTGTTGTTCTGTTTCAATTTTATTTGGTTAGCACCCGTTCTCGGTGTGGCCAGCTCCGCACAGTTCCCATTGACTGCAATGGGAACCACCTCTGACAATCAGGCCCATATCGCTCATGCCAGACGGTCATCTCTGAATAGAGAACTCCTCCATTGATCCACAAAACACGAGCTTCCCTGCTGGTGCGCCGTGACCCTCAGGGTCCATTGCTAGGGTCAGAGTCCATCTCCATGTCATTCAGTCCTTGGTTTCTCTGCCAACAAGGTAGTGAGTTACTGCCACTTGTGATGGATGCTGGGTTTTGTGATGCAGATTCTGGTTCATTGGGAATTGGACTGAAAGCACTGAGGGCCCAAAGCAGCATTCAGAGAAGTCAATGCAAAGACTCACCTTGGCTTTGATGGCTGTTGGATGGTGTCCCAGTTTCTTTTATGTAAGCTGTTTTATTTTTATGACACAAACTTTGGCATAATTTTAGAGCTGGTTAAAAGATGAGAGTTTTTCATGAAATATTGAAGTCATTTTTGTTTCACAGGTTTCAATCCAGAACAATTTTGTTTATTGGAAATTTGGGGATGGGGGAGGGGTCTTTTTTTTTAACTTAATTTTCTTTAACTTTGGGCTTCCCTCCCTGACCCTTCATTCCTTGTTTTCTTCCCCACTCTCTTTTTCCCCTTTCGTTTGCCACTGAAAAAGGGGAAAGGAAGGAGAAAGTAGTTTAAAAAATTTGGGTTTGGTTGATCTATTTTTCCATTTTCCATTTGCCATTTTTTGCTGAATAAATTTTAAAAAATGAAACTTTCTGATCTTAAAAAAAGGCCAGTTTTCAACTAAAAATGTTTTGGTAGAAAAATGTAAATGATCTCACCCTATTTTATATTGCTGTAACTGGAAGTTGCTAATAACAGACTGATGCATCTAGCATCCTTCTTAATAGAAAAACTGGAGGTGATTGCTCTGGCAAAGCTACTTCTTTCTTGAAGGTGACCTTCAAAGGAAAACAATGAGTTTCTGTTTTGGTTTTGTTTGGTTTGGTTTTGTGTGTGTATATGTGTTTTATCATATGCATAAACAGGCCTGAAAGAGTTTGGGATTTTTTAAGCAGCTGTTGTGGAGGAAGAGGGTTGCTTGTTTTTTTAATCTTAGAAATATCAGGAATGTCAAATCTGATCTCTGGTTTTCTGGAGGTTTCTTTGGATGACGCAGATATGTGGGAGTTTTCTCACCATTTAAGTGAAGGGGGACTGAGTACTGAATCTTCAACAAAGAGAAATTACTCCCAGGAGTTGAATAGGTGTTACACACCTTGAGTTTTATTGTTTGCAGTGGTGTTGTAGCCATGTTGGTCCCAGGATATTAGAGAGACAAGGTGGGTGAGGTCATATCTTTTATTGGACCAACTTCTGTTGGTGAAAGAGACAAGCTTTCCTGTTACACAGAGCTCTTCTTCAGGTCTGGAAAGGGTACTCAGAGTGTCACAGCTGAATACCAGGTGGAACAGATAGTTTAGCATAAGTAGTTAACACATCTAAGGGACCATTCAAGGTGAAAAGGCCAGTTAATACCCCTCCAGTTATAGGACAAAAAAGGAGTTACAGGTTGTTGTGATAAACCATAAATCCAGTATCTCTATTAAGTATCTCTACTAAGACTATGATTTTTAGTGTCTAGCGAAGTTATAAATTTAAGTTCCCAGGCTAGTCTTTTGTAAGTGTTGTGCAGGTTTCATTTGAGGACGAGGACTGAGAGGTCAGATCTAGAGTGGTCGTGTTGTGAAAAGTGTTCACCCATGGGTGATTGGTGTTTTTGTCTTTTTATCGTTTTTCTGTGTGAGTGCATTCTTGAACCAGCCACTTCAACTCGAATGGTCCCCTAGAACGCGTGTTAAATCCTTCTGCTAAACAGTCTGTTCCACTTTGTATTTAGCTGTGACAGTCTCAGTACTTTTCCCAGACCTGAAGAAAAGCTCTGTGTACCTCGAAAGCTTGTGGCTCTCACCGACAGAAATTGGTCCAATAAAAGATATTACCTCACCCACCTTTTCTTACCTTGAGTTGTAAACAGTCTGAATAAAAATCACTTCCTCACCCCCCCATTCCCCCATTAATCATGTTTTACTTGCTTGGCTTCTCTGACGTTACAAACCTAGACACAGATCCTGCGAAGGCCTACTCACATGCTTAACCAGTGCTTAATTTGTAATGAAAGAGGTGCCGGGGCTCAAGCAATTTTTTTTACATTCATAACTGATGTAGCAAGCCCAGAGGTGCTAGGACTATGAATTGCCAAGCCTAGAGGTGCCAAGGCTCAACCCTGGAAAGCCCTGGCACAAATTTAAGCATTGAGCTTTACATACAGTGCTGTAAGTTAAGCAAAGCATGTATGTGGATCATTACAGGACAGGTGCTCTCCTGGATCTCCAGTCAGCCAACAGGGCCTTTCAAGTAAAACAGAGTAGACAAGGCTGAATTTCCAATGTAAAATTCGAACAACCAGAAAAGAAATATCTGTGGCCTTCTTCATACCTCAAAAGAAGCAAAATAGCACATGAACCCAATTTTCCTTTGCAGATCACCTTTAAGACTCTGCCCATTTTGTATTAAATAAGTGGCAATACACTCATCTAAAAGAAGAGAAATGCATAGGGTGGGATACAGGCCTCTCAGCTTCGCATACATTTTTAATTTCACATAACTAATCATTTAAATACTTTTTTTGTTCTTAGCTAGAATAAAAACATCCTAGAGTAAACTGCATGCTGAAGGCACCAGGAGCTCTTTCTCCCTATTATCAAAGCCACTAGGCAATTTCTGACAGGCCCAGCGGAGAATTCCTCCAGCAGTAATATCTCGGTCAATATTTAAGGCCCTGAGCGATGCAGCTCTCTCAGCCTTTGGATGTTTTTGCTTTGCTTGGGTAAATGTTTGATTTCAGCAACATGAAAGCAATGTGAGAGCTGAGCTGTGAGTGTTAATTCAATGGAGATAAACAGCATGGCTGAGCCATGCGTGGGAGGAACTGTTAATGCTACAGGAATGTGATAATCATCTTCTCAGGGCGGGGTGGCGGGGGGACCTTGGGACCACTATTAAAGAGAAATAAGGGTTGGAAAAGAAGAGGAGATACTCCTAAAGAAGTAGTCCTCTGACCCTTCCTCTCTTGCTGCTCTGACTGCCCCCTCAAATCCCTGTCTCTTAGCTCTTTGTCTTCCTCATCAGGCCCCTCCATAATCTTGCCCATGTCTAGACCTCTTCTCTCATTCTTTTCTGCTCTCCACTTGCCCCTGTGCCCCACTTACTGCCTTTCTGTGCACTTGGGCCCTAATTCAGCAAAGAACTTAAGTGCCTGAACTTGTGGTTAGATCCCACTAAAGCCAACCGGATTTAGACTTGTTCTACACTTAAAACAGCTGTTGACACTGCGATGGTTCCCAGGGGCGTGAAAAATCTACACCCTGACCCCGTAGCTGTGCTGACCAAGGAGATGCAGCTAGGTTGACAGAAAATTGCTTCGATCATCCTAGCTCCTGTCACTCAGTAAGGTGGAGTTCCTACAGCAATGGAAAAACCCCTTTCATTGCTGTTGTCTGTGTCTACACTATGGGGTTGCAACTGCATAATTACGGCACTATAGCTCTGCTGCCCTAGCACCCATAATGTAGACATTCTTTAGGCTTAAGTGCTTTGCTGAATCAGGGCCTCTCAACTTTGCATTTTCTGTCATGCTCCCCCTTATGCTTGGAACAGTTTCCCATATCCTGCCCAGCAAGCTCTCTCAAATGCTCCTTCACATCCCTTCTTAAACCTGCTTCCTCCAGGGATCCTTCCTACCTTATTCCGCTCACCAATAATCTTGCCTCATTCTCCCTTCCATAAACTGTAGTGCCATATTCTGTCTCTCTTAGATCATAAGTACATATGAGCGTATATTTTTGTTTGGTGCCGAAACAAAGAACCACAAAAAATTGTTTTGGGTGGCTTTTACCCTTGGAGGGAAAAAATTAAGCACCTCTAACTAAATTTAACCACAAAACATCATTTTGAAATGAAAAGTCAATGTTTCATTTAGAAAATGTCTACACAAGCCATTTTGACTTTTGACTTTCATTTTTTATTCAACCAAAACTGTTTTGAATTCGACCTGAATTTGTGGATAGGTTTTGTTCATCACAAAGCTGCATTTTCCAGCAAATGAACTATTTGACGAAAAATTTTTGCCCAGCTCTAATCAAAAGCTTCTTAGGGCCATGGATGTGCCTTACTCAGTGTTTGTAAAGTACCATGGCCATTTGTGGCACAATCTCAGGGATATCTGCGCTCAGTAATGGAGATTATGAATAGGTTATTCTGAGGGAAGTGAGATATATATCTCTTTCATCCTGAGATACCCTTCCCTGCCCCCCTCTCTCCCTCCCTCCCAACACTGTGTGGTTTTATTCAGACCTGACACTTCACTGAGTGTCTTTCATCTGGGAATTCCTTTTGCTGGTCTTACAGCTGCAACTATAAATTGCTTCTGTGAAACAAGCAGGAATGAAATAACTACTCTAGCTTATGAATTATTTTATTAGCATTTCAAAAAGGAATCTTATTTCTGTACACATTGCCCGTACATTGGACTTAAAATCAATGGTTGGATGTGGAGGAAGAGTAGAGATTGTCAGAATGTTCAGTGACAGTTTAAGTGTCTCAAATCATCATTCAACTGAAGGTTCAAATGCTAACTGTTTCACTATAATATGTTCTAAGAGATGTGATGCAACCCATCGAGCGCTGGGGGGGGCCAAATCATGGTAGCATCAAATCCAATGGCAAATTCCTAACAACTTCATAGGAACAGGAATTTGCTCCAAATGCCTGATTCAATGTCTAGCTGTAAGAAATATGCAGGGATTGAGCATCTCAAAAAGGGGTTACATGTGAGTTCTGTGCCCTGCTGGCACAGTCTGCTGGCAGTCACTGGTTTTGCTTTTTACAGCTGATAGGTTCTTACTAGACTATAGGAAAAAATTCTTTACAGACTTAATGATATGTTCACTATGTTATCTGCTTCAGAGTGTGTCAAGGGACTCAAGACTTGGCTCACTCACATTTGCAATCGCTCAAAGGATCAACATCTTTGATAATTATTAGGTCTCTTACTTAAATATCCATGGAATGACCATCTGAGGCACTTAATAACAAACAGTGTATTCGCCTGATGGCCACCCTGTTCAGCACTTAGTCTTCATACTAGCAGCCAAGGGGACTCAACCACATAGACGAGATGAGGAATCAGAGGGCTTTAAAAGTCGAGGCGGCACGTCTTGTTTCAGATTTATTCAACTCCCTTCATGAACTCCAGGAATTCTGCCAAGGAAGGGAAATGAAAGACACATATTTTAGATGACAACCGGAGAGTCAATGTGTAGCACTTCACACTCTTTCTGGGTATCTCCAGAATCACCCTTCTTCTCTCACCCTTTTTCTCCCCTTTACAATTCCAAATGCCTAACAACATAGCTAGCTTTGCTCCAGTCATGGAGGGGTTTGTTACTCGTCCTGGAAGTGCCACTAACGTGATTCAGCACAGTGAAAGACCGGCAGTACAGAAAGACTTGAGGAGGCTTACTAGCTGGAGTCTGGGCTTAATAGACAGGTGGTCAAATTTCACTTATAAATCAGCATAGCCTCACTGAAATCAATAGATAGATGCCACTTGACATCAGATGACGATCTAGCTCAAGATCTCTAACATTCAGAGCAACAACTTTCTAAAAATGCCCTGTGCATACAATTTGAAACTGCAGCTCCCATTTTTTAAAAAAGAATCGTATTCACTGGAGCTGGTAGAGAATTTTAGAAATTTGACAAAAGTTAAAACCCAACCCTTTTATTTTATTTTTTTTAAAACCAGCTTCATTGAGTGGTGATATTTTAAAATTCTTACAAAATGTTTTTGACAAGCTCTCGTGTGTGTAACAGTTTTATTTTCAGTTTCTGACAGTGACGATGACTCCAGAGCATGGATTGTGCTGGAGACTGGTGCCTCTGTAGGTATGATGAAAGCTCTGATCCTGCAGCTTGGTGCATTCAGGTGAGTCCAGGTGCCTGTATAGAGCCCCTTTGAGTCTCTGGGGTTCTGTGGGGCACAGGAGTCCACTTGCATGGAGTCAGTTTCAGGATCAGGGTCTATGTAATTATAGTTCTCTGAAGAAGGTACCATCCAAGACCCCCCCACTATGAAGTCAGTTGTGTCGCTTGTGTGTAACGGAGAAGAGAATTTGGCCACTAACCTCCTGTTGTCAGGCCTCTAGCCCTTTAATACACCCCCATGGCCAAGAGTTTGATAATGGCAGAGTTGCCTCAGTTTCCTTTTTGGTATTCTGAAATGTGGCCTATAGCACTTGGCCTCTCTTTACAGCTCCAGACCCTTTGTCTGGGTCATTGGAATCTCTCCCCTTCTGGGGTGGTAAGGGGCCTCCCGCCACTAGGCCTTGGGCCCAGTATCCCTCTCTCCCTTTTTCACCAGAGAAGGAACAAAGGAAGCAAAAACAGAAATAAAGTCCAACAGTCTTATGTTAGGGCTGCCAGTCCAAATCTGAGGCTTCAGCCGTTCCTGCCCCTTCCCTCCAAACTCACCCTCTCCTCTGGGTCCCAGCCCAGGAAATCTGTATGAGGCAGTCACGGGCATTTGTTTAGTTTCTGGGCTGCTTTCTACCTACAGCCTTTGCAGGCCTCTTCCGTATGGCACCCTTCTGCCTGGAAGTTGATATCTCCGGGCAGCTTTGCCTCATCTGATGCTGTGGAGCTTCCCTATGATGGCTCACAGCCTCTCCAGCAGTCACCCTGCTCTGTTTGGTTGCTGTTTTTTATCCCAGCTGTTTGCTCACAAGCCATTGAGCCCACAGCAAGAGCAGTTATTACTCTATTCATTCTGTGTCTTGCTGCTGTGTGGGGTCTATACACCCATCATGCCTTCCTTAGGTAGTTCTGGCAATAATAATAGTACAGAAGTGGCATAGGCAGTTATAAAGCAGAATCTTTATCAATATCATTCTTTGTATGGTCTAGGGAAAACCCCAGCCAACTCTTCAAATTTGTACCTGCAACTTTGTATGCATAATAAACCATATCTATGTGAGCTAAGAGGACACTTTGAATACCTCTCACCAAACAAAGTAGGACTCGTGCAAGCAAATTCAGGTGTTTGTTCTCCCCAAATATTGCACATGCACATTTAGAAGCTATTTTGAAAGGGTGGGACTACCAACTGTCATGTTTCAGAGCCTGAACCAAACCTTCTGGAATTTGGAGAGGAAGGATTGGATCCAGATCTTGGTTTTGCACAGATTCATTGCCTCTGTAATGGGTGGAAACCAATACCTGCGTCTGAACATCCTTCAAGATTGGGGGCAGAGGGTGTAACTCTGTACCTAGGTGTGCAGCCTAATTTTGAAGCTGGCTCATACTCTATGAAAGACCAAACACTAATCCCATACCCACACACTCTCAAACCGTGTGGGAATTAAAACCTGGATCTGAATTGTGAGTCTTGGGCCCATCTCTAATATATACTACTTACATCTCTTGTTAAGGTTCTGAGTTCCTCAGGACAATAGAGGTCCCATTTTTACGTTTAACCAAATTTAAACACCTACCATCATAGTCAATCTTGCCATCATTGTTTTTGTCTCCATCCTTCATCAGTTCCTCTATGTCATCTTCGGTGATGTTCTCTCCAGTAGCCTGCAGCATGCACTTTAGTTCATCAAGGTCAATGTATCCATCAGCATTTCTGTGCAATGACAGAATGGCTCAAAGATAAAAACCAAAAATACTATAAACGGATGGACAACCGCACCCCATGTTACATCGCTTCCACTTGGTCTCCAATCTGGTTTTTATCAATGAACTGCCCTTTAGTGACTCATTCTCTTGGGTTTCCTGTCATGAATTGGTAGGATAAATAAATGACTGGACACAACTCTCCCCTTTCTGCAGGTCTCTATTGGAGTAACCCTACAGGATTTGTGTGCCTCCTGAGACAAAGAAAGCAGAGAGTAGTAACTATTTGCTTCTGCTAATGAATTAAGGGATGGTCTTCATGGACAAATAGTACATGGAGAAGTAAAAGTCTTTTGTAAGTGATGACGACCTGATTCAGCAAACTGCTGAAGCATGTGCTTGGATCCATTTTGAAAGAGGGAAATTCTTTGAGTTTCCCTGGAGGAGACATTTTTCCATACCAACTTCTGCTGAAGGGGAAACGTTAACTTATGAAAAGTAAAATCAAAAGACAGCCCTTAATACTATATATTTCTTTTTCAGAACTACTTGTGGCACCAGATCGACTCAAGATTCACGTCTCTGCCTATTTACACAAAAATTGCCAATGTCTGAGCTGGCTCAGCCTATAATCTATCATCCTAACAATTAGACACAGGAATTGTCAGAACTTAATTACAACCTAATTTCTTCAAACAGAGCCCGTGCACAAGATTTCAATGAGTCTTAACTATGTGAAAGTTAAGAGTTAATATCACTTGGCACAAAAAGGGTCTGACGCAGAGCTAACTTTCTAAAAGGACCCGTTTTAAAATTAATTTTAATTTATAAACTGATGAATGGCTTTACTTGAAATTTCTCAGAAAATGGATTCTATGCTCAAAGAATAAGTGCCGTCGTTTTGTGTTCTTCAGATATCACAAAGTGGTTGGTTGCTGCTTTCAGCAGAAAACTCAACTCTACTGTAACTATGGGGACATATTCGGCAGCGCCATAATATCTAGCAGTGTCGTTTGTTTTAGTGTATTACATTCCAGTCTCTTACTTATCAAACATTCTGAAGAGATCTGAGAGTTCCTCTTCTGATTTTCCTTTGCTGTCATCTTTCATACATCGGACCATCATAACTAAGAACTCATCAAAGTCTACAGTGCCGCTGCCTGAAGGTGAAATAAACGAGGTTTAGATTACACTACAATCTAGAAGGCAATCTTCCGTGTTTGTTTGTTTTGACAAACAGGCATATACATAAAACAGAGATTAAACTTTTATTTAGTAATCCAGCCACAGACTTCATGTTAGTAGCACTAAGGAGTGGGTAACAGATTATGGAATGGATTCACCATTGACTTGCACCTTATGTAGTCATTTAAACAAGTGCAAATTGAATATAAAACACAACCACTGGTGTAAATGTGTGGAAAATTCTGATCTGGTAGCATTTGACACCCTTGTTGCACAGATGTAAATTACTATGGAAGGTGCAAGACAGTGGAGAATCAAGCACTGTATTTTTAATGCTGATGGTATGTTATCATTTGTTGTTTAAATGACACTGGCAAGATATTTTCCTTAATTCTTAGCATAAATTTTCTTGCTTTTGTGTTTAACGAGCTTTTGGAATTTTGGAACTGAAATCTATATCAGTTTCTTTCCTAGATTGTTTTCCGCCAATCTGCACATGCTGGTTTGTTATTGTGAAGTTGTTTGTGGGTATATTGTTGTGCGTCTACATATCCACACACTGAAGAATTTGTTTTTGTATTAAAAACCTGCACATCTACAATTCCATAGAATTTGCAAACACAGAAGAAAAAAATGGTGAATGAAATTTTCAACCTATAATCTTTGACGTGTCCTCTTCTGTATGCATCCTTATACTGCCCTCATCGCTATAGTATCTGAGCACTTGTGTCTCTTAAAAAAGGTTTGAGAAATCTCTTTGCATCCGTTATAGTAGTAATATTTTTAGTGCCTTCCATTTGTTACACTGGAATATTCAAAGGCATCTAAGACACTTAAGCATTCATTGAAATTCAGTGGGTGTCTGGGTGTTTGAAAACCTCAGCTTTAGCATTTTATAACCTACGGCCCCAGTCTTGCAACTTATTCCACACAGGCAGAGCTCTGCTCCCATTGAGTCCTATTAGAGTTCCAAAAGGGTGGAGCGGTCCACCTGCATAGTTCAACTTGCAGGACTGGGCCATATGTGCCCACAGTAGCTCTGCAGGGCACCAATTTATGCAGTGGGTAGTGGCATCCAACTGGTGCACAGCATGCTGTGATGCCATTGCAGAGATGGAATTGTGGCCAATGGCCTTGTGGACAATTCAAAGTCTTACACAAAATGGCATTGTATCTTTACGATCCGCTCCACAGAATGTCCGTATCTACAGTATTACCAGAAGTGATCCCCCTGCATTAACCAGTGTGGTTACTCAGTTTGTCTGACTCCAGAAGTACAAAAGAACAGGTAAAAACTACCAGAGTGTGGTTCTCTGTTTCCAGGGTGTCTCAACATTCCTGGTGCTTGGGATACTAATCTACTTTCTCTGGTGGAAGGAGAGTGCACTCTGTTTTCTTTCATGTGATTCTTGTGCCTGGAAAGCCTAACTGACCACTAACTGCGGAGTATTTAAGGTCCAGCCAATGACCACTGTGATTCTGGCCTTCTGTAAATGCTTTGCAGTGCACTGAGACACCTAGAGGATTTAAGAGAATAGCTCACCATCTTCATCCACCTCATCTATCATCTCCTGCAGCTCCTCAGGGGTTGGATTCTGCCCCAGCATTCTCATCACCTTCCCCAGTTCCTTTGTGCTGATGCATCCGTCCTCAGCACCCAGGACGAAGATGTCAAAGGCAGCCTTGAATTCTAGAGAGGAAAAGGAGAAATGGAGGGGTTTGCCCTTTTGATACGAGTTAGCACGCAGGAAATCAGTGGGGGTTTCATTGCTGTGGTGATCCAAGAATGGACAAACTTCAAAGGTGTGTCTGCGGAAGACTTTTTAGCTGTGTCAGTGGAAGTCAAACTTAATTTCCTCCACCTCCCCTGCATTGGTGTTAAATCAGTCATCCTGCTGGGGTAAGCTCCACTCAACACCCAATTTAACACAGTGTGATCAATCCCAGTGGAAGAACCTGAGGGATTCTTTGTCAGCCATTGTAAAGTACAGTTGAGAGTTGAGAGTCTAGAGTAGACAGAGCTTAATGGCTCAATGTTTGGATAAGTACCCAGAAGTTCCAACCAGAGGCTGCTCAAGACAATCTGCTGCCTTAGGCAAAGCTTCAGTGTGCTGCCCCCCCTTCCTTCCACAGAGGGGTCTATGGGGGTGTGAAGTATAGAGCCCTCTAATGTGTTGCACTGTAACTGCCCTGTATAGACCTTCTGGCATGAACTAAAGGGAACCTAGTCCATGTTAACATAGTCCTGTTCACACAGGACTACATCAGCACAAACTCGCTACCTCTTCATTCCAGCAGGGTCTAGATGGAGCCATTAGAGCTCTATACATTTGAGAGCTTTGCAGTCAGGGCTGTCCCTAGCTATTCTGAGGCCCTACACAGCTCCCCCACGGGGGAGTGGGACCCCAAGCCTCTGCGGGGGGTGGGGCTGGCTTGGGGGGCAGGTGGGAACCGCCCCCCAGCACTCACTGGCGGCATGGCTGGGGGCAGGTTGCTGCACTTCCCGCTGCCAGTGAGTGCAGGCCCGGCCCTGCGGCAGTCCTCAGGGGAGTGGGGGCGGGGCAGGGGCTTTGGGGCTGGGGTGGAGCAGGGGTGGGAAGAGGCGGGGCTGGGGTGGAGCAGCACGCAGCTGCACAGGGCACCAGGAAATGTGGTGCCCCAAATTTCCTGGTGCCCTACGCAGCTGTGTACTTTCTGTATGGGTAGGGACAGCCCTGTTTGCAGTTCACACCCCTGTAAATCACCTGCAGCACCATGTAGACAAGCATGAGGATTTAAAAAAAATCACTTCTCCCAGAAATCTCTATGCTGCCCCCAGAAATCTGCCCCTCAAGGCAGCTGCCTAGTTTACCTATAGCTAGAACAGCCCCTGGTTCCAACTTCCCCACCACTGAACTTTTCAAACATCTAAGCTCTACAAAATTGGGCTGGAACTCTCACGAGAACAGGCTTTATAACAGGATTGCTGGTACTCCCTTTCCTTATTATTATCCACGACTTTTGGCACATAACTGCCCAGAGGCCCTGTTTAGCGCAGAACTCCATTGGTTTTCAAACTAGGGTAGGCGAGCTCTCATCAGGGGATACCCAAGGAAAAGCCTGTAATAGCAGACAATGCACTTTATTTAGCAAGACCTGGCAAACGAATCATAGGAATATTATGACCCTATGTCAGATGGGGGTATGCAGTAGACTACATTATTTGGAAAGGGGTACGCAGCCTAAAAAGTTTGAGAACCACTGTGCTAGATGTTGGCTGGACACACAAAAAGATCCTGTGCTTGCCCCAAAGAGCATTAGGACCAGAAATACCATGAAACATTATTGTAGCAATGCCACTGCCGGCCTCTTAGCCCTTTTCCTAAACTTGGGGATGAGAAGCCATTTGCTTTGCATTGTACTTTGGCAGCTGGAGGTATGGTTTTTCACTTGTGGCAGCAATTGTTAACCCTGAGCTGGCCTGTTCAAGCCACAGGCTAACACCATGGGTTGATAGCGGATTTACTATCCATTACAGGGAGTATCTTCTGTCTACAATGGTGTCAGAGTAAAGATACACATACCGTTTTTCTGTTCTTCTGTCAGCTGCTCAACCTGTGATGAAAATAGAAAGAGAAATTCATTTTTATTACACTTAATCATTATCATTAATTGATAATACCACTTATACTGCACACTATTTGTTCAAAATGCTTTACAACCCTTAACTAATCTTCACAACAGCCCTTCTTGTGGAGTAAGAGGGTCGTTTACCTAGATCGTTTTGGCACAGGTCCCCCCCCCCCCCTTTTTTTTTTTTTTTTTTTGGTATATCGAATTATTCTGTTCATCTTTTAAAAATATTTTTCACTCTTCTGGAGTTAACATTATTTTTAACCAGAGTACGAGTCTCAGGCATGTTGCATGATTGGCTTTTAGACAGTCAGGGCAGCATTTAATTATGCAATGTTGGGGGACTGAATGGGAGGAGCATTTGTCACACCTGAAGAGCTACTGTGTGGTGGTTCTTCCTATGGCTGATGTAGATGTAGAACAACTATAATTTTACAGTTAGCTTAAGCCAGATAATTGCATCAGGAGTAGTGGAGAGCGTCGCTGTGATGCCTCCTTCATATTTGGGAATCGGACACTGAGTCGTTATATTCCATGGTCTGTTCTGGGTCACACACTGGAGAGTTTTTAATTTTCCATTTATGCATCAGGTATCTGCAGCTGCCATGGTTTGTGCGGGTGCGGCTTAAGGTTACCCATAAGCTTTGCAGAAGACTGAAGCCTCAGATCTTCTGTGTTTGGTCTTTCACAAGATGTTTGTTTGTAACTTCTTGTGAACTCCATTCAGCTTTCCAAGCTTCATCAGGATTGAAGTCACATTGTCGGAGAGTAAGCGCATCATCCAAAAGGGCTTGTGTGACTTCAAGCAGTGGTAAGGGATATCTTTGAAGTCCTGGTGGATGGGAAGACTACTTTTCCTCGATTCATTAGACTTCTTGGAGGGTTGCAGCATTGCAGCGAATGGATGGGCAAGCAATGTGCAACAGCACGGGCAGCCATGGTGTTGGGATCAACTTGATGGTTCCAGCGATGCACCACATTGCAGTGTTCAGTTGGACATCAACAAGTCAAGTGTGGCTACTTCTGGTCCATACCAGTGCAAAAGTACTCGGGTAGACAAAGATGCTGATGCCCCCCAGCTTGTGCTTGCCAGTTTCTGGACCAGGTTGACCCTGGTCTTCGTCTTGGTGGCTACCTTCTTCAAGAGTGGAAGATGGCAGCCTTCATGTGGTCCACTCTATTAAGTGAGAAATCACAACTAATGCCATCAACCCAGAGACCGAACATAGATCATAGGGACTTCTGTTCTTCCAGTTTCTGTTATAGTCTTACGTCATTGGTGCTCTAAAAGTGTGCTGAAAAGTGGAGGTAATACAGAGTCTGAAGAGGAATTAAATAAGGGTAACAAAATGAAATTGCATTACTACAGTTTAATGTGAAAAATCTTAGTGTAAAATTCACCCTGCCAAGTCCTTGATTAAGTAGGCTTTGTGCTCTGGTGGGAATGGACACCTGGAGAAATGCACAGAGTGGAGGACAGCTCCACAGCCCTTCCACAGTCTATTGAAGTCTATGGGTAATCCCAGAACGAGTGGACCTGGCCTGTCATGCCCTAGGTCTAATCCCCAAACTCAACATACCCATGGCCTTTGCAGGTTGGAGGAGCACCCTACTCTCCCTTATATAGGGGTAGTGGCTTTTCCCTGATGTCTGCTATGCATCATATGTAAATGAGTTCCTCTAGTCAAGTACTGAATTAATACTAGACTGTAAGATAATTTCTGTCTCCTTCCCTGATTATCAAGAGCAAACAAATAGGGGGGCTTAGTGTAAACTTGAATTAATAAGATACATCTACAGGAACAGAACATAAGAGCAGCCATACTGGGTCAGCCCAAAGGTCGATCTAGCCCAGTATCCTGTCTTCCGACAGTGGCCAGTGCCAGGTGCCCCAGAGGGAATGAACCAAACAGGATCCATTCTCTGTTGCCCATTCCCAGCTTCTGGGAAACAGAGGCTAGGGACACCATCACTGTCCATCCTGGCTAGTAGCCATTGATGGACCTATCCTCCATGAACTTATCATGAACAGCAAATAGGATTGTGTAGTTGAGTTACGTGCTAGTGGTCTGGACCAGTGGTTCTCAACCAGCAGTATGTGTACCCCTGGAGGTACTCAGAGGTCTTCCAGGGGGTATTCAGTTCATATAGATCAGTGTCTCTCAACCTTGGGGTTGCAGCCCTCGGGGGGGGGGGTCACGGGATGGGTGTGGGGCATCACAAGTGCAGGGCTGGCATTAGAGGGTGGCAAGCAGGGCAATTGCCCAGGGCCCCATGAAGCTAAGTTACATGCTTCAGCCCCTGGTGGCAGGGCTTCAGCTTCACAAAAGGATCATAAGTGAAAAATAGGTTCAAATATTGCACTGAAATGTAAGTACACTATTTATAGTCCATTCAATTTATTTTATAATTATATGGTAAAAATGAGAGAGTCAGCAATTTTTCAGTAGTACCGTGCTGTGACACTTTGGTATTTTTATGTCTGATTTTGTAAGCAAACTGTTTTTAAGTGAGGTGAAACTTGGGGTACGCAAGGCAAATCAAAGTCTTGAAAGGGGTGCAGTAGTCTGGAAAGATTGAGAACCACTGGTTGGACAATGTTAGCACCTCTCCTCTTATCTGAACCTACTGCCCCCTCTCAGTTAATTCCTTCCTGATGTTAATGCTTCATTTAATACCACAGACCATAACGTCCTATTCAACCAGCCTGCTGAATTCGGTGGCACTTTCAGCACCTTCCTGGTTCCTTTCCTCCAGCAGCTATCCAACTGCTACGGCTTGTCGCCACCCACGCTCCCCTGTCACTAGGCAGCTCTATTGTGATGCTTACAGGGTTCTGCCTTTGGTCCTGCTCTCACGCCATTTCCCTACCCCCTTTCTGAAATCAGTCTATGTAAATAGGACCCAAATCTGCAACCACTTTACCAGCCTATAACATAAGGCCAATGAACCACAGTCATTACCGATTGCTTCCCCAACTTCTTAGTGCTATATCCCCAGTGTTGCCAATACACTCTGTTCCAGAGCTGTATCATGATCTTTATTCCAGTCTTGGGCCCTGACACCGCTTTATCAATGCCCCTTAATCTGGAGCTGCAGCACCCTGTCAAACAAAACACACATGCAGAGGACAGACCAGGGAAGCTGATCCATCCATATCAGATGCAGATAACAATAGCAGCAGGATTCTTCTTCAGCATTGCATCACGAAATCTGAACCTTTTTGTCCAGCCACCCATGATGGAAGGCAAGCAGCTGCAGGCTGCTCTTTCATTGTTTTGGCAGTAAAATAGGATAGCTGGGGACTCTAAAGGTATGAGCTATGCCTAGTAAATAAATGCCTATTGCCACTTTTGTGCCTTCCATGTAACTCAACTCTTTAGGCATGTTAGCTATTTATAAGCCCCAATGATTGAGGTGCTGGAGATAAAGATAAACCTTCTGATTATTCCCAGGATGTGAATGGCACTGGTATTTATCCTTGGACCCTTTTATCTGGACACTTGTCCTTGGCACTGTTCTTAGCACGGTTCAGTAGAGTCTGAAAGCATTACCAAAATAGCTCGGCATTTGTATAACCTTATCTAGACATGAATAGGCAAGATGAAAATCCACTGGACGCTGTTGGTGCATTTAGAGAAATTGGTGGGAACTAATTCAATGCTTTATTAAATGTGCCATCAACTTGCAACAAACCACAAATGGTCAATTCCTTTGAATCAAGCTAAGCCTCTTTAACTAGTGCCCTTTGTGTGCATAGATTTATAGATATAGGAATGTACTATACATAAATTAAATGATAGGTAACAATAATGCTAGGAAGATCAATTCATTGCAAGACTCTGGTAACAAGATAATAAACCATGAGATGAAATTCAAGTGGTTTATGATCTCCCCAAGACCCCATGATCTATTCCTGACCTTTTTCTTTTAGTCTCTGTATCTTCTTGTTTTGGGGGTTGACTTCTTTCATTACTGCCTCAGTGTGTAAATGCTGAGGATGCTGTCAGGATACATAAACAGTGCCATAAGGTGCTGTCTTGGTTATTCCTTTTTTGGCTTTGTTCTTCATTCACTGTTTCCATCTGAAATTGTGCTGGTGAGAGCCAATCAACTTTGCCTTGCTTTAGTTACTCTCTAGATTTCTTCCAGTTTAATATTTTGTTACAGTACATATATTTAGGATCTTTCTTTATGGAATGGTCCAAGGAAATATCCTTTTCACTCAGTTGTACTGCATTTTAGAACCACGTTTGTGCCCCAACCCAATATTATTTTGCCTTTGTAAATTAATTACAGTACAAATGCAGCTATATTAACCTGCTCAAGACAGGAATCCCACTTCATCTAGCTACATTACAGTTTTTTACTGGTTCTCATCAACATAGTATCTGAATGTGCCCCAAGCTAAAAAACATTGGCATAGCAAAGTCTCTACTGGACTTCACGGAGTCTTCTTCTCCTCTCTCTTTCTTGGCTATAGAACAACGCTATGCTTGGAGTAAGAAGTTTGTTGGTTATGGGTATGGAATTTCTTGTATTTGTGGCCCTTTTTTGAACTAAACTCAAACTCCATTGAAATCCATGGAGTTAGATTAGGGATTAATTTGGTTTTCTGGGTCTTTGACCTGTATGGGGTTTAGCAGGTTGAGAGGTATGAAAGAGGCTGAAAGTTGTGCATGGGAAACCTTCCTCTATCAGTCTCTTGACTCTAATTCTTTCCTTGTGCTAGAGAATGCATTCCATCCACGTGACTGACAGATCCATTTGGCTAATTGTTAGCATTGCTGGCTTCCAAAATGTTTCAGCGTTTCTTCATAACCATATGTGTGATGCCTCTAAACATTATGGCGCATGAGTCTAATTAAAGAGCCAATTGCAGAGACATGAATTTTGTTTACTTCTATAGGTCACTTTTTTATTTCATTCTTTTTGAAGACCTGGACTTTTGGCTCACTGAACCCAAGAGGACTGGGGTCTGTAGAATGGAGTCCCAGTTCAGTGCAGGTCATAGTTTAGTCTAATATGAAGGACAACTTGTTTTGTTGCCATGTGTCAACCACGATCCTGTTCCTTTAGGACATCTTGAACTTTTGAAAGAAAATATCCACATTTGATTTATCTTTATGCTCTTGATAGAAATGTGAAGATCAACCAAACCAATTGTTAGCTATCTGCAACACCATATATAACCCTGTAACTAACAACAAGAGTCATGTACAGAACATGGTAACACAGAATTTAAGGTACAGGGATTCATGCAATACAGATTCCAGAAAGATATCACTCTCATGTTGTTCTGCCTCCATATCATCAGCTATTTAAGGTACAAAATAATGCTGCATCTTTATTGGGGGGAAGACAGAACAGTTTGGGTTTATACAGTAAGCTTGATATGCAATGGTTGAAGGCAAAACTGCTTTCTCTTGTCCTCTTTAGAAAGCACATTTTACATTATAATTTTTTGCAGTATAGATATCAAGAACAAGGAAAGAGACACTGCAAATCAGATCACTTATTTCCTAAGCCTTTATCAAAAGGGGTTTTCAAAATATATCTTGCAGAAAAACATTCAGCCATGGAAATTGGAAATGGCAGCATTTTAATACACAAAAATAACAATGCGTCTTCAGTTCCTCATTGAAACAGTTGACCTGTCAGGTCCTGGATCAAGCAGTAACCATACCTGATACTTTGGTAGATTTTTCAGAATATATTTAAAATTACACTTACATGCCATCTCTCTATTTCACAACACAGAACCAGGGAAAGACTTATTACAAATAATTTAGCAGCTTATTTTTAGAATTATCTGCTTACAAGAAGAACGTTACATATTTAGAATTGCCATGGCATGAAAAATTCTATGTTCTGAACTAGAAGGTGCCTCACTACAGCTAACATTCCTAAGTGCATTTCATTGTTACATTAAGTACTCGCAGTGTAAAGACAATCATTGCTGTGCCCTTATTGTGGCTTTAGGAGATCAGCAAAAACTCTTTGAAACGTCATTCTAATACAACAAAGGCACCCTCACCAAGGTAACTTAAATATATTACTTACTGCTGCCTTGTAAATATCATCCATGGTTAGTTATTGCTGGTCAGAAGCTGGATAGAGAGGGCAAACACTACAGAGACAAACTTCAAGTCTCTGTCAGCTGTCCCCTCCTTCTATGCCTGCTAATATAGCAAGGTGTCAGCCCTAAATGTGTCACTCAGGGGCTGCTGCTCACCACATCAGCAATCTAACATATATCTATCAATGATACCCACTCCAAGCAAGAATTCCTCACCCCTGTGAGGAGGGGAGGGAAGGGGCACTGTGCAAGGCCTACAGCTGGCATTCCAAGGGCCCGATCCAGCTCTCATTGAAGTCAGTTGGCTTAATACATTAAGTGAATACTGGCAAATATTCGTGTCAGGCTATGGGTTTGATCCTCTGGAGTTCCCTGGCAAATTTCCCTTTGAAGTCAGCGAGAACAGAAGGGTGTCCGGAACTAAATATTGACATCTGTTTGGACAACTAGCCCCTTTCTTTATAACAAACTGAACCCAAACCCTGGACCCAAATACTCCCAATACCTGTAATAGCTTGGGTTCTGATCCAAACTATCTCTGCTTTCTTTTTTTACAGAAGACAAACAAGTGGAAGAGCTTCCAATGAGCAATTTATATACATTTCTCCTCTTCAGAAAGTGAGTAAGCAGAAAAGGCTGTCACTTAAGTTTATGCTATTTCTCTCTCACTGCACAGCTATCAGGAACATAATACAATGGGCCATTGGGGTTCATCTACAACTCTGTCACTGACTCACTGAGTGACCTTAAGCAAGTCACCTAACCTCTTAGTGGCTCAGTTTCTCTGTCTGCAGAATGGAGATATTTAATATCTAGCCTCCTTCATAAAACACCTTGAGAGATGTTAAAGAAAAAGACTATTAAGTGCCACTATTGTTTTATTGTATTGTAAATTCTCAGTTACCCTGGTGATGCTCACAAGTGACTTCACAACTCTCTATTCACTCACAAATTGTTGGTGCAAATCCTGTCCTCAGTTATATGGGTGCAAATCCATTGAAGCTGATGAATTTACTCTGGATTTTCTCCAGTGCAGCTGAGAGCAGAATCTGGCTCAGCAAAAATAAGCTTATCATCATTAATTGTACTATATGCATAAATAAATACATGAAAAGTGTTTGGCACATTGCTAAAGATCTTGGAACAAACATGGAACCCATGGTGAGGTCCTTTTCCTTTAGTAATCCGGGGCTCCCTCTTGTGTCCAAATGCAGACAGTAAGAAAAGCAGCAAAAGAAGTCAGCTAAACGTGACACCCGTGTGTTTCTTGGACTGTTTTACAAATTAGCCAATACCAAAAGCAACCACTGTCTCTGCCCTACTGAGAAAAGGGATGTTCTGTAGGGGAGAGGATGGCTCTGAGGACCGGTAACATGATGTAAAACTCAGGTCAGTAATGATCATTTATGGCCTAATTTCCAGAGGTGCTGAACACCCGCTTAATTGCAAGTTTTGGGGGCTCTGCACCTCTGAAAATGAGGCTAAAGGTGGTCTATGTGAAATGAGTTTGGTGGCCTCTGTCCAGTTCTCTTTGGACAAGTATCCATATTGGCACTGATCAAAAAATGGGAAAATGAGTTTGCGAACAGTTTTCAAAGTTTTTTTTTCCCCTGTTTTGCAGGCATGGAAATGAACCTGTTTTCAGTTTTTCTCCAGAAAAATTATGTGATATTATTTACTGAAATTGACTATTTTTCATTTACTGACCACCTGGTTTTCAGCAAGAAAAGATGGCTTCCAGTAACTGAGAAATTTTCATACCAACAAAATTACCAAAAATACCACCAAAAATGTAACCAAAAAAGGAACCTTTGGTTAATGCTAACAATAGTTTGCAAAAAGGTTACTTTTCCGTGGGGGGCAGGTATTTTGTGCAAACATTTTGACCATCTCTAATCCATATCATAATTAGTATTCATTGGCAGCCTTGTTGGTGGTTGCAGGGAGGCCAAGGACCAAATAATCACAGGAACACTCCCGTGAGAAGTAGTCGTTCCAGGTTAGGATGGATACACATTGCCAGAGTGGCAGAGGAGAAACTTATTGTGCAGCTGCCTGTGTTTTAGCTGTTCTGCAGGCTCCTGCTAGCCTTGTTACACCTGTTCACCACACACAACCGGCCTCTTGTCAGCATCAGCCCAACAAAGAAATTAAAAGAAAAAGGTTATTTTTTTTCTTTTTAGAGCATATTAGCCTTTCGTAGGTAGCATATTAGTAGGGGTTCGGTGCTTTGGACACACAAAGGTCAGCACACGGCAAAGTGCTTCGTGGCTGTGAGTCATGGCCACTTTTCAAGAATACACTATTTTAAGGGAAACTGAAGCACAAAGAGCTCAATTTGTCCAGGGGCATTCAATGGACTGGGAACAAAACCAAGGAATCATGACTTCCAGTCCCCCTGTTCTAACCTCTCGACCGCACTTCTCTCTTGCTCACAGTTTGATTGAGCTTATGTCATTAGAGGCTTTATAATCAACACAGAGTAGTAGTTCGATCTGGGAGTTATGTATAGTGTAGCATACTATACAATAACAATTCTTTGTCAGAAAAGTTCTATTCACAGCTAATATGTTATTTTATCCATTTTTGTTTCCCAGGCAGATAATATAGGATTCTGTGCCGAATAATACCATACTCATTTCAGGGAGCTAATGTGTAAGCCTGTTTGTGACCCCACAATGGCCTTGAAGGTCCATTGTGAAGCACACCTGTAGTGGGCATTATTCTGAGTGTGATGCCCAGTTCATGCTCACTTCCTAAGGTCAGGCTTGACAAAGCCCTGGCTGGGATGATTTAACTGGGAATTGGTCCTGCTTCGAGCAGGGGGTTGGACTAGATGACCTTCTGGGGTCCCTTCCAACCCTTATATTCTATGATTCTATGATTCCTGCCACTCTGGGAGGTGATTACTATGAGTCATTCCCCTGGTATTTTTAGTGCCTGGTCCAAAGCCCTTGGAAGGCTTTGGCTTTTGATCAGGCCCCCTGAGAAGTGAAACAGTGATTTAGTTAGGGTGAACAGAGGTTGGAAAGCTGTAACACATCTCAGTCAATGGTGTTTTGAGAAGGCAGAAGGGAAGGTGTCTTTCTCTGCTCACCAACCCTTGCTGTAAACAGCACAGTGCTTGTCCCCTGTGAATAAAATCCCTGCTCGCCCATTACTAGTATTTGTCTCCACGGAATGAAAACTGCAGTCACTGGTTGGTTATGTGGAATTCTGCAGAAAAAAAAAAATAGCATGCTCCTCTGAAAGTATAAGGGCTGATTAGACTGGCTGATGGAAAGGGCTTGTAAGATGTACTGACATCCCTATACCCAGAGGCCAAAACCTATTAGCCAGAAGGGAAAGTTACTTCCGTATCCTTGCGCAAGGACCAGGAGCATGACCTGGTTAGAAGCCTGTCACAAAGCTCCCCAGCTCTGGCTGACCAGAAAGGGTCACTGTGATTCCCACCTATTCCTAGGCCCTGCCCTGTGTCTCCCTTTTTCGTATGGTCCTTAGCAAATGGATGTCTGATATGTATCAAGCTCTCTTCCCTCCCTGCCTCCTGATTGCTGTGATGGGAAGCTGCCTTTTGACTGCTTCAAGTAGAGAACTTCTCTTTTCTCCTCCCTCCTCTCGGCAGTTGGAGGGAGAATCTTTCTCCCCTCACTGTCCCTGCCTCTTGCTTGCTACCAAGAAAAGGTGATTTTTTTTCTCCTCCTCAAACCAGCCTCCTGATTTCTGTGAGTTACTAGGACCAAAGTGGTGGTGTTGGCAAGGGGCTGCATTTCAAGGAATCCCATCTATTGGGGAGGGGTTACAAATACACCAATGTTTGTTCATTGTAAATAAGTGCTGAGGTGCTACAACTATGGAAACAAAAAGTCCATGAACTACAGAAGCTGCAGGGAGTAGAGGCAGATGTAGTAGCTGAAACTCCTTGAAACGCTTTTTAAAAATGAAATTATTTGACAGCGTCCCTTTAAAAACTAACCTGCTGTTTTGGAAAATCAGTCTCAAAAGCTTTCCCTTATTTCAAAAGACAACACTAGCACAGTAATGTCTCTAATCATTGTGGTGTTGTAAATTGCAGTGCTTTGCACAATTACTGTAGAATGCTGTAGTTCACTGACTACAAATACGAAGTAAAATTAACCAGACTAGTTTTCTTTCTGGAAAGAATGAACCACAAAACCTGAACAAATGGGAGCAAGGGGGAAATGTGAATCCTTTCATTTCTAATAATCTGAAGCTTATGAGTAACACAAGTAAAGAAAAGCTTTCAGTATATAGTCTGATCCTGCTGTCCTCCTGGAAGCAAAACTCCTGCTGACTTCCATGGCTGTTTGCTCTCCATTTTGATCATCACCCTCCTTTTGTGGGAAATCAAAATACAGTGCTGGTTACTGGGGATTGTTTCAAAGGGCATGCTCTTGCAGTTGTGGGAGGGCCCCGAATGCCATCTGCTTCTGAATCCCCCTCTAACCTTTAGATGTGATTCCCCAGGGAGCAGCATGGAGGATGCTAACATTCCTGCTTGTCCATAGTGTAGCTGTTCTGTGGGTAAACAGAACATCAGTCTGCTGAATGTCAATACAGCAGAAATTCACTTAATCTGGAGATCATGAGAGGCAGTACCTTGTTGGCCGCAGGCTCTTTGTGGTACAATAACTGTCATTTCTATAACCTCATTCGTCTGTTAATCAAAACCATCTAAAGAGAAGAGGGTGGGAGGATTGTGTACTGATTTCAACACATTTTCTGATGCAGCTATAGTCCGCTTCACACACTCTAAGAGTGGCTATAAGAATGACTGTCTTTGGTTACACAAACAGGGAAATCAGAAAGGGGAAGGAGTGTAAGTCTCTGAGCTCTTAAGAAAGATTTTTTTTTCACTACTCACAAGGGAGGGTTTGATATGGCAAGGAGCTGAGCACGTTCTGTAAGATATTGAGTGTGCTCCTCTCCCTGCAAATCAATTGCAGATAAGGGTGTCTAGCACTTAAGAAGATCAGACCCTTTGTGAGCTCTTGAATTTAGTCAAGCAGGTTAAACGCTCAGTTAGGGTCAAATTTTCCTCTGTTACATCAGTTCAACCCTGTTGATTTCAATGGAAATTAAATGGTGTAACGGAGAGGGAAATTTCACTCTTGGTAC